CCCTGTGTGTCCACCCCATTTACCTTCATGTTTACTGCTCTCATCATAGATCACTTTGATCATATAAAGAAAGTGGCCGGGGCGGGCGTCGTTGGTTTTGGTGGAGATTACGACGGGGTTACAAGGTGAGTTCAAAACATTCAAACTTTCACTCAACAACAAACACTCAACTGTGAAACTGTATTTCTCTGCATGTCATCCTCTCAGACTACCAGAGGGTCTGGAGGACGTGTCCAAGGTGCCCAAAGTGGTGGCTGAACTGCTGAGGAGAGGATGGACTGATGAGGAGATCAAAGCTGCTCTGGGAAACAACCTGCTCAGAGTCCTAAGCAAGGCTGAGAAGGTGAGACTTACGTACACACACACACACACACACACACACACACGCGCGCGCCAGATAATGCGCGCGCATTATCTGGATTTAGGCTTGGAGGCTACAAATTTATAAATAGACAGTTACAAACATTAGGATTTGATCACTTTTACTTGTACTGCCACACCCTGGAGTACACTTTTACTCTTCAAGATCTTAGTAATCATGATATTCAGGAATTTCTTTCCCATGTCAAAAGTAATCCAGGGATAGTTATTTCAGTGGAAGCAGGAACCACTAGCAGCCAGTGGTGGAATTTACTCAAGTACTCTACTTGAGTTTTTTCATTTTATGTTACTTTCTACTTTTACCCGATCGCATTTCAGAGAGAACTATTGTAAATCTTTACCGCAGTAAATGTATTTGACAACAGTTACTTGACAGATTATGATTTTACATGTAAAGCATTTGATTTTATATAATACGAGGGACTACTGTAGAATATACTACACTATATACAATTGTTGAATTTAGCTCCACCTCAACCAACTACAACATTAAAATGCATCAATAATGATAATTATCCAATATGATAGTTTAACACTCACAGAGGCCATTTTCATGCATTATGACTACTGATTATTTTCTAATTGTGCAAAGCTTTTTTTCCTCATAAAAACTGAACATGTATGATGATTGACATGCCTAACTTATCCTGGAAATAGCACAACTCTCACTTTTAACAATCCATTATATGCGTCTCGTACTTTCTGTACCTGGTGGCCACAACAGTGAAAAGCTGATCAGTCAAAAGCAGTAAAACAATTATACGTAGGTGCACACAAATAAAAGGTTTGGATTTCTGTTCAGAACCCTGCATCTGAAACACAGATTGGAATCATAAAAGTAAACAGAATTGGCTCTTTTTATCAGGAAGGACTCGACGCTTTGGTAGCAGGTGGACCCTGTGAGTCAACGTACACACACCCGTCTCTGTCTACTGCCTGACGGTTTTATCTTTGTGTGTCAGGTCCGTGACGGTCTCCAAGGCAAGAGTCCGGATGATGTTCCTATTCCATATGATGAGGTGCAGAACTCGTGCAGGACGAGCTATGGTTACCACAATGCTGGAGCCGTCCACTCACTCAGCACACTGGCCCTTGTGCTCACACTGGCTCTCCAGGCTTTTATCACAACAGTTTCATAAGATGCTTATCACGACAGCTGATAGCATGTACGTGAAGAATTTGTCTGCGAGTACTAATAAAGTCTGATTTAAATGTCGGGATGACTTCCACAGATGCTCTGTTCTCAGAATCACTAAATAGTTTCACTTTACTGTTTAAATGTTTTTATAAACAGCTTGTTTTTATCTGATTTTAAAGGTTTTCTGCAGGTTAGCTTTACTACAATTGACCAAAAAAAAACTGGCCCAACAGTTTTACTGTCATCAGGAAAACAAAGACAACAACACGGTGATTATCATGTCAGACCAAGTTCAGTTTATTGATCTCCATCTGTTTTATCTCACCATAACACTGTCAGATAGAGACTGCTGTGGGCAAATGTTGGTGTGTGATGACAATGATACACCAGTGTAATCTGAACACACACACACACACACACACACACACACACACACACACACACACA